AACAACAATTCAATTACTAAACAAAAAAAACGTAAGAAAGTAAAAAAGTCATTTACACATAGAATGAATAAAAAACGTAAAAATAAATATTCTTCAAAAAAATTATCTTCTAGAAAACAATCTAGATCTTGTACAAAATATTGTTCTCGTTTTGTTACAAAATTATTAATACTCAATTTATATCTCAAATATTTAGAGAAGGAAAGATACACAAAATATATTTCAAAAATTTAAAATATTTTTTAATAGAACTATATTTTACACAAAAAATTTAATAATAGTTGTTTATCAAATTCTTGTGTGGTTGCTATGTATATTTTAATAAATGTATTTAATTCTCATTTCTTGTTATTTATTTCTAATTTAATGTAATAGAAATAATTAAATAAATTTGCATAATGATGTGTACATTAGTTCTGTATTATTTTTAAATATTTTGATGAAAGTATACAACATTGTTCTATTGTCGACAGGAAAACAGGATCCATATCTTACAGAAGCAAAACTATTGGATATAATAGAAAGATGTAAATCAGAGGGATCTTATTCACTATTAATTCGTACATTGGGAGAGGTATTTTCATGTGCAAAGGCTTTGAGTCTTAGTTTCCAAAAAACAGTAAAAAATGACTCTCCCTTGGCTGCACTTCTTGATAGAGCTTCAGATAGTTTATTGAGGCCACCTGGTGACATGGATAAAGAAGCAATCCGATCTATACAAGGAGAAGATAAAGAAGAAGACAGCAGTGAACCATCACCTACAGTTCCTAACAATGATGATACTAGTATTGATTTACCAGCTGTACGAAGAGCTTTTGCTGCTCTTTGGTCCTTACCAGGTAAGAAAATATCTTATCTAATAAAAATATTGAATACTTATTATGAATATGTAATTTCTTTTTTTTTTTATATTTAGGAGAAGTATTTAAGTCTGCTTTGGTTAATGCACTAGTCACTTTGGCAGACAATATTGAATTAGACTTGAGAGTATTTCGTATTATGCCAGGAGATAATATGGATAGTTTATTAAACGTATTTTTAATTGTATTTGAAATTCCTATGCTTGGAAACAGTGAATATTTAGAACTTGCTCTTCATATGCTTTGTAAAGCACTGAGCTGTTTTCCTATTGTGGCACAAGCTAAATTAGCACGTGTATGGGCTAAACATTGTAAATCTCGACTTCCAAGTATTTTACAAGCTCTACAGGAATTAATAACTGTTAAGGTATTGTTATTTAATATAATTGAAAAGTTTTATACTAAATTATTTTTTGAATTATTAAATTTCAGTAAAATAAACAAATATTGTAATTTATTTAGGTAATAGGAGGTTCTTTTACACGAGATTATTGCGTTCAAGATGCAGACACTATTACTGCACCCACAAAAGTTATGAAAATTTTATATTATGCAAGTATGTTAGCTGGTGAGCTAGATGAACCTGATTTAAATATAGATGATGATGGTGAATCTACAAGTAATGATAAATCTGGAAGATCTTTATCACAAATTCCTCAGGTGAAATTACAAGGATTATTATAAATTATTAATTAAAATATTATTAAAATTAATTTATATATACAATTATACAGTTGTATTTAACAATAATAGTATGTTTTATTTATATTTTATATACAGGATCCATTAGCTAAAGAATTAGGAATTACTGCACTAGATGCACGGAAACCATTTATACCTTTCACTGATTTTTATAATGAACCACTTAGTGATGCAATAGAAATGGACAAGGACTTTGCATACTATAAAAGTGAAGAACCTATGAAATTTAGTTTTATGAATTATGCTTTTATCCTCACTCCTGCTACAAAAACACTCGGTTTATATTATGATAATCGCATCAGAATGTATAGTGAACGTCGAATGAGTTTTCTACAAACAGTCGTTGGACAACCGACTAATCCTTATTTAAGATTAAAGGTTTGTACATCTTTCTATTTTTATTATAACTTGTATTAACAATTGTCTAAAATAGGTGAGAAGGGATCGTTTAATAGATGATGCGTTAGTCGAATTGGAAATGATTGCTGTAGAAAATCCATCTGATCTTAAGAAGCAATTAGTTGTTGAATTTGAAGGTGAACAAGGAGTCGATGAAGGCGGAGTTTCCAAAGAATTCTTTCAATTGATTGTAGAAGAAATATTTAATCCTGACTATGGCATGTTCACAACTCAAGTAATTTTTTAATTTTTATTGATTATAAACTAAGAAAAAATAATTTAAAAATAAAAAAATTATTTTATATAAAATATTGTAAATATTTATAGGAAGATACACAAATGACATGGTTTAATCCAACATCATTTGAAAGTGATGCACATTTTACGTTAATAGGCGTTGTTCTTGGTCTTGCAATATATAATAATGTAATATTAGATGTACGTTTCTCTATGGTGGTTTATCGAAAATTGCTTGGTAGAAAAGGATGTTTTGCTGATTTAGAAGATTGGAGTCCCACGCTGTATCGAACATTGAAGGAATTGATGGATTATACCGGAGATGATATGCCAGACACATTTATGCAAACTTTCAGAGTAGCTTACAAGTAACTTATTAACTAGATCAATAATTATTGAATAAATCCTATTTAATTAATATTATAATATATAATATTCTTTTCTATAGAGATGTTTTTGGTTCAATATCTTTTCATGATCTAAAACAAAATGGTGATGAACTATTTGTGACACAAGAAAACAAAAAAGAATTCGTAGATCTCTATGCAGATTTTTTACTTAATAAATCAGTAGAAAGACAATTTAAAGCATTCAGACGTGGATTTCAAATGGTTACAGATGAAAGTCCACTTGCATTACTTTTCAGACCTGAAGAAATCGAACAAGTATGTTTATATTATTTACAATTTGTGTATTGCATTTTATTAAGAATTATTTTTAATTAATGTTCCACTTACAGCTTGTTTGTGGTAGCAAAGTTTTCGATTTCGCGGAATTAGAAGCCGCTACAGAATATGAAGGTGGTTATACCGTTGATAGCAAAGCAGTACGTAATTTCTGGCGCGTAGCACATTCACTACCACCGGAAAGTCAACGAAGACTTCTTCAATTTACTACTGGAAGTGATAGAGTGCCAGTTGGTGGTTTATCAAGGTTAAAAATGGTTATTGCTAGACATGGTCCAGATTCTGACAGGTAAATTTTTTTAAATAAATTTAAATTCATATTTTATATTTTTTAATTATGTAATAGCTAAAATTTATAATTTTATATTTATTTTAATTGAATTGTATAACAAATATCACATATTATATTTTAGATTACCAATAGCCCACACATGCTACAATGTATTATTGTTACCAGATTACAGTACAATAGAAAAATTACAAGATCGTCTGTTAAAAGCAATCAATTATTCGAAAGGTTTTGGCATGTTATAAGTGTGTATAAAAGCTTTGATATCTTTCCCCAGTCTTTCAGAGTATATTGAATTCTAATTAAGAGTTCGAAATTCTATCCTTTTGTCCTGCTATAAAGATGTATTTATTCGAAATTTATGCAAACGCGTGGAAATGTTCTGCTTTCGTAAAATAATTTGAAAAAAAAAAATGAAAAAAATTATTCTCTAATAATACCTCGCAATCATTGTCCTCCAATGTTTATTTTGCAAGTTAAAAAATTAGAATTGTTCTACAAAAAAATAATACAAAATTTTTGCGATAATATGCTTTGAAATTTTCTTGCACCTCCGTGTTATTTAAGGCGCCAAAGCAAATTAACGCATTTCAACAAGTCTTGCCAAGTTGTTTCATAACTTGCACTTTTTCTGCACTTTATTATCAATATGAGAAAAGAATATTTCATTTCATTTCCAAATCAGCTTTTACAAATTGGCTGCTACAACTTATCTCATTAATTTTAATCGTAAAAACAGAAAGAGATGCAGCATAATGAAATGCATACAGCTTAAAAATAATAGTGAGATGCGCGACTGTGATGAGTGTGAAAATGGACCGAGAATAATCGGTCAGAATTTGTAGAGATATACGTATCATAGATTTAGTGAATCCTATAGTTGGTACTCGATGCTGCAAGGAAAAGCCGAGAAACACCCCTTTTGACGTTTATCGTCATTGTACACAAGACATTTTATATATTGCAAAAAAAAAAAA